GGGGATAAAAACACAATAAAGACAGCTGAAGTCTGGCAGGTACCTGGTCATATTTGCACCAATCACAGCTGAGGATTTCAGCCTTGTGTGCTGGAACGGCCAATCGGCACGCAGCGCCCTTCACATCCCAAACTCTGAGCGTCCCGTCACCTGAGAGCAAAAGCAGAGACAGCAGATGTTTATCCAGCACAACCACAGCTTATACTGGTGGCCTGCGAGCACTTTAATTGCAAAATGAGCCTGATTGATAAAAAGAGCATCAACCTGGAGAGGTGTTCATGCACTGTTAGGTTCTGTTCAGGTTGACCACGGTTTGAATGGGTCCTACTTGGATTTTTAAAATGAGGAACACATTCAACACTTCAATAGCCTGACAGGAGAGATAGAGTCTGACTGATGGACAAGATGTATTAATGTGGGTTTCACATATTACTGCATCTCATGTTTCACATATATGGAGGAAAAGCCTTCGATAATGAGGAACATCTTCTCCTTGGATTAATGGGGTCTCAGAGAAACATTTCCCAACAGGAGGACTATAAAAGTGTCATATTCTCAAGATAGATGTCGGAAATGTGGGGGGGTGTGATGGCAGTGACCTCATAGTCAAGGTTGTCTAATATACAAGCAACTGCTGTGTTCAATATTTGGTAAATGTTGGTCCCAAACCTAATAATCACCTGACTTCAACAACTGAAGCGTTGCTGCTGACATGCCGACTGAGCAGCTAAGAGGTGAAATGAACTGAGACAGACATGAAGAGTCAGACAGGCAGCAGAAGACAGAGAGAGAAAATATACAGAGAAGTGAAGGCAGGTGGAGAAAGCAAAGAAAGAAACAGGTTAATTGAGGGGAACGCAGCTGCCAGCGTTCTGAGCTCCTTCAGACGTCAGGTTCTGTTTCAGTGTGATGGTGTCAGTAGAACGCAGCCTCTTGTGAACCACAGTACTCATTTCAGGGACCACTTTATTATGTCATCAAACCAACGGTGTGTGTGTGTGTGTGTGTGTGTGTGTCTATCTTTTTTAAGACCAGTTTAAGAACTTGAGGACATCTGTGCTGTACTGTCAGAGTGATGTTGTTGTTTTCAGACTTGGTTTCAGGATTCCGGTTAATAATTTCGTAACGTTCATTGGAAATGTATTACGTTAGTCCTCACAAAGATAGAGGCAGAAATGTGTGTGTGTTTCTGGGCAGAGGTTGAGGGTCTGCCAACACACTGCGACAATCATCAAGCAGAACCTTTACACTCCTCCCTCTTCCTCCTCCTCTTCAAGTCATTTCACAGCCAGCAGGTTCTCAGAGGTTTATTCAAACTCTGCAGTTTCTGCAGTGAAGGCCTTACGATGGTTCAAACTGAGGGTGCAAAACCTGCCAGCGAACAGTCCATTATCATCCACCTGTTTCGACAGTGTTAAAACCAAACAGCAGCCGCCGCAACTTCAGGCTGAAGTCGATGTATGTCAAAGTGCAACACCACCAACCACACCAAGAAAACCACTGCGCTCCAACAGACTCACGTTCAAAAGTAATTTGCAATGAGCTATTTTTTCAAAAGTAATTGAAAGAGTAAACACTGATATTTGTCCTGACTCACAGTTTTGTGTTTGTTGTTCAGGAGGTAGAGGAAGAAGACCCTCACTGGATCGGTTATGCTGTATTGTTGTTTAGTTTAATGGAGCTAAAGTAGGGCCGGATGGAAAAGCTGAAAAATATATCATAAAAAATCATTTGAATAAATGTTAATAATTATTGAACATCCATCCATCCATTATCCATTCACCACTTACTCCTCACTAGGTTCGTGGGGGGCTGGAGTCTATCCCAGCTGACTCAGGGTGAAGGCAGGGGACACCCTGGACAGGTCACCAGTCTATCACAGGGCTACACTTAGAGACAGACAACCAAACACACTCACATTCACACCTACGGACAATTTAGAATCACCAATTAACCTCAACATGCTTTTGGAATGTGGGAGGAAGCTGGAGAACCCGGAGAGAACCCACGCTGCACGGGGAGAACATGGAGACTCCATGCAGAAAGATCCCGGGTGTAATCACCAGGACGCAAACCGACGACCTTCTAGCTGTGAGGTAACGGTGCTAACCACCGCGCCCCCACTGAAGGACAGAATAAGGAATTATTGGAATAAGATTTAGCTTCTAGTATGTGACAGTTCATTTGATATCATTAAGTATTTGACACACATTTGGTCCTTAAAACTAATCTAATATTAGAAGCACGTCCTGTGAAACACTAGTGAAGAGCAGCACAAAACACAGCCTTCAACACAAAACACAATCAACACTTCTCTTATGGTTGCACTAATATAAATACTGCACCAATCATGCTTAACTTCTTAATTAAGAGAAGGTTTATCTCTGTGCTGCGTTTTGGTTTTACGCTGATGTACCAGCATAAACCAACAACTGCACGGTGTTGCTTTCCCTCAGGGAGCAAAAATTAGAGTGAAAACATCTGGTTTTGGCAAAGCTTGAGGCTTTAACGGAACTTTAATGATGTTTGTGTGACCCAAAGAACAAGGAACAGGGATGAAAGTTGGGGCCACCATCTGGGAGCTACAAAGAAAATACATTTGCCTAATAGGATTATGTGACTGGGTCTTCAGAAACAACGCCACCTAAGGTCCCTTGGAAGCGAACGGGAGAGCCAGACTGGCCGGAAAATTTCTGAATTTGAACTTGTTGTCCACAGAATTTGAATAATGAGCTCCTGACTGTGGAAAGAGATTAAAGAGTAAAGCGAGGGAGCTTCTTCCTGGCTTCACCTCATGTTTGCTGACCAGCAGATTAATCCTCTCCTCCCGTCAACACGCTTCCTCTCCTCCCGCTCGCCATTTCCTCCTCATCCTCTTCGCTCCCTGCACTTCCTCTTTAATCCCAGCGATGGATGGAAGCCCTCCCTCACAGCATCAGTCTCTTCCAGACCACCTCCTCCCGCTCTTTATCGATTCTTTCAGAACTGTTTAACCCTTCACGCCCTTCTTCCCTCAGTGTCAACCGTCCTCTTCCTCTCTGGTCCTCTTCTCCTCATTCAGACACTCTCAGCCATGTGTGGAAACTCCTCTGGCATCGTGTACTAGGAAACATGCCAGCTAGAGTCTGTGTGTTTGTGTGTGTGTGTGTGTGAGTGTGTGTGTCACCATTTACAGCAGCAAAAACAGTTTAACGTTGTGTTTTCTGCAGAAGCAGCAGCATAGAGCATCTGGCTCTGCATGTAAATGTACGACTACAAGTGTGTGTGTGTGTGTGTGTGTGTGTGTTCGCTCTGCAGTGCATTAGCTCCTGACTTCTGTAAAAGGGTCTCGCTCTATTACACCTGCTGTATCTCTGCTGTATCAGCAGGTTCAGCAAACACACACCCAACTCTCTCACACATGCAGCCACTTTAAAGGCCCTCACCGATAAGTTACAACTTTTCAATTGTGCTATTGTTCAACACACACACACCTGATGCCAGTGAAAGACTCCTGACAGATGTTAATGTCACAGTTTTAAAAAAAAGAAAAAACGATATTCTTTTATTTTATTTATTTTGGCACTCATCTCCCTGGTATTCCTCAAGAAATTAGTTTTTATAATGCTACTAGCGGTCTGAAAAAAGTAGAGTATTTCTTTTTTCCCCCAAGTGAAGCTACATGCAAATGATAGCCACAAAGGTTGTTCTTTCTATGTTGATGCAATGATGGCACAATGCAGCACCTGGGCGTCAGGTTTAGTGCAGAACAGAGTTTCTTAACACTGTATACACTGTATATAGTAACAGCTCTGCTCCTGACTTCTGTAAAAGGGTCTCGCTCTATTTCACAACTCTCTCACACATGCAGCCACTTTAAAGCCCCTCACCGATAAGTTACAACTTTTAAATTTTGCTATTGTTCAACCCGCACACACCTGATGCCAGTGAAAGACTCCTGACAGATGTTAACGTCACAGTTTAAAAAAAAGAAAAACAATTCAGTTGTCTCGTGATAGTTGATTAGTTTGTTGCTAACCATGGAAATCATTAGCTGTTTAATGCTAAGGTGTTTGTATTTTATTACCACACTGCCAGATGGGATGAATTAATCTCAACAAAGATGGAATGGCTGCAACACAACATCAGCAGTGCAAACATGAGTGTAAGAACATGATCAGAGGTGCAGCTTTTGGGAAGAATCTCTGTTCAATACAGTATTATAAGTATTTGGTGAGTCGATGTGATAAAAGTTGTGTATTTTAATCATTTTACTTTCGTTCATGAGTATGTTTTATACGTTAAATCCTACATTGTATCTCCTCTTGGGATCAGTGTAGGGCGACTTACTCAAACAGTAATCGCTGACATGTTACTTTACCCGTGGCATCTCCATCCGGTGCATTCAAATGACTCAGCATCACAACTACCATGACGTTGTCCCCAATCTGGATCAAAGACCACGACAAGGTTCACGCGAGACATTCACTCGAATCAAACTAAATTTACCACAAAACAGCAATGCAGTGTGAGAGTCAGCAACGTCAGCAACAAAAAGCAACGAACGGATGTGTGTCATGTGGGCTGTGAAACTGTTGGAGGTGCATAAAGTAGATTGATGCCAGTTGGACGGAAGAGAGAGACACAGTGAGCACCTGAGCCAGCATTTACAACCTGGAAGGTCCAGGTGAATTGAATCAGCTGGCGACCCTCCCGTGTTGGCCGAGTGACCAGTGAGGTAGGCAGGGACGCTGTCCAAGACTGTGGCAGTGTTTGGACGGTCCACTAGTTCATTCACCTACTGTAGAAAGATCTCTACGGGATCGAGGCAGACAGCTGTTGATACACTGCAAACAGGACTTGGATGTGAACGTGCTGCAGAATTATTTGATATTCAAAATTATCTCAGTTGCATTAACAAACGCCAGAACATCTACAAAACATTTGAGTTGTTATTTTTCTAAAAAGTGACAAAACTCTCGACAACATTGAAATAAAACTTTGAAATACAAATCTGTGCTGATTTTTTTTCTGTTGCTTGATACAAAAGGAAAACCTGCACAGTTCTCATTTTCCATGACTAATCTACAAGAAGTGTGTCCAACAGAACATGATTTATTCCAATTTAGGGAATCCTGGATACGGTAAGGTTTTTTTGTTTGTTTGTTTGC